TGCTGGGGTATTTAGACCCTCTCTCCACAGGAAGCACATGCATAATCTATAGAGTTTGGGGAGTGTGTGGACCCTGCAGAAGTCCCCTGGAAGTATTCTTGTTTGGGGCATTCAGTGACCACTTGTTGTGTCCATTCTACAGTATTTTTACAGAGTTCTTTTTAGCAGTATCCATACTTTTCCCCTTCACCCCGAGTCTGAGCCTTGTTAACACTGTGTTGTCATTATTAATTCCTAAAGAATTAGAAAGCCGTAGACAGTGGCTGTGAAGTCATGTGAACCATGGGCTACAATTTTGCTGTTATATCAAGTTGAGATTGTGTGAATTTATCACGGACTTCAAGATTAGTGAGTTAATAATTTGTAGAACTCCATGAGAGGACTCAGCTCTCAGGTTTCTTATTAAGTCTGATTCCTATTCATGTGAATAAATAAGATTGCTTTCCTCACTCAAAAAGTAGTAATTTCAAAATGTAATTGCAGCCCATAAAATAGTCATCTTTAAGCAACAAATCAGAAATATTGTTTCACCTACTTTTCTTTAGCACCAAGAGCTGTTCATGCCCCAGTTGGGATTATGTTCCTTGTTGACTAAGCAGAGGACTGCAATTGAAATGTAATAACTCTGTATTTATGGATCGAGTGTTTGTAGTAAAGGAAAACTTTTTTTTAACCTCCCTGAAAATTTCTTATATTCATTTAAAAGTTTACATTTGACTCTTTCCTCCTTAGAAATATTGAAGAAAATTCCAAAAAGAAGCAGCAATCTGAAGAAGATTCCAAAGAAACCCTGAAAACCAGTGAGGTGTGTTAGAATCAGTAAAATTTCTTTTCAGATGCTCTTTTGATCAGTACAAATCATTTAGTCCTTTGGAGTAAAACTTAGAATGCAATTTGAGTTTTTTCAAATATTCCTTACATTTTCAAAATTCCTTAAAAGGAATTTTTTAAATATTCCTTACATTAATCATTTTTGAAACCCCATTCTATTCTGACCTAAATTTCTCATTTTGGTGAGTTAATTTTATATGATCTTTTATCTAGGTAACAGCTATTTTTCTCCTTTTCCTTCTTCTTCTCCCTCCATTTCTTTATATTGCAATAACAAAATTTCTAAAAATAATGGAAAAAGAAATGGGGGGAAAGCTAAAATCCCTTGATTATAACAAATCATCCCTTTTATTCTCATTCATTCCATAATTTTTTGGAATGGAAGTATAACGCTTTAGTCATGTTGTGTTACTTGTGAGCCTCCTTGTTTAGTGTTTGTATTGTGTTATAGTGAATGGGCATACCGAAGTTACTTCAGCATAGTGTTATAGTGAATGGGCATACCGTAAGTTACTTCAGCATAGTCTTATAGTGAATGGGCATACTGTAAGTTACTTCAGCATAGTCTTATAGTGAATGGGCATCCCATAATTTACTGTGTGATGTTACAGCGAATGGCTGCACCGTCCTTTACTATGTGGTGTTATAGTGGTGCACACCGTAACTTACTTCAGCATTTTCTTATATTTGAGCACATTGGTCATTCTAACATTCAGTTATTTTAAATAGTAAAAATATAAGCGTTGAATACATTTTTTTCCCCTCTTAGGATTAAATTCTTATTTATAAAACCATATTTCTAATTCTATAGCTAAATATTTTAATATTTTCAGAGGGAATTTAGAGATTATTTGTTCACAGTCAGCAAATATCTTAGTTTTATTCAAAAATTAAGGGCATATTTAGAAATATATCTTGATGTTTTAATGACATTTTTAATATTGAACTTTATGATAGATATCTATGAGAAATCATCTCAAAATATTCATACTGACTATTTAGAATTAATATCTTATTGTAAAATTAGACTGTTGCAAATTCCTGCCAGTTTTTCTTTGAGGAATTTAAAGTATTTATTAAGGTCTTGTGTTCTGTTCTCTGCATTGGTAGAAAAACGTTAATATTTATGTTGAAATTTAAGGATGTTGAGTATTGAGCTGACCCAGAGCATAGTCCTTCTGAGGACTGGAAGCCCTTATTGAATGAGCACTGCTGAGAGTCGGCAGGTCTTCATTAGGGTGGGCTGAGTCAGCATGCACTTAGTGGTCTTAGTAATCTTCTAGTGCTGAACCCAGGGGGTAGAGGGAAACGTTTGGATGCTGTGTCTCTCAGTATCTTCCCTTTCGTATATGTTACATATATTTTTGCTGTTACTGTGAATTATTACATACCTTTGAAGCATCACATGTAAAATAGTGTACAAATGGCCTAAATTAATGAGATTTCCATAAATGACTTTTTTTTTTTTTTTGAGACAGAGTCTCACTGTGTCGCCCTTGGTAGAATGCTAATGACATTACAGCTCGCAGCAACCTCCATCTCTTGGGCTTAAGCAATTCTCTTGCTTCAGAGTCCCAAGTAGCTGGGACTACAGGTGCCTGCCACAATGCCCAGCTATTTTTTGTTGCAGTTGTCATTGTTGTTTAGCTGGCCTGGGCTGGGTTTGAGCCCACCAGGCTTGGTATATATGGCTGGTGCTGTAACCATTGTGCTACAGACACCCAGCCTCCATAAATGAAATAAAGACTTCCTAAGTTAAAATAGGACATCCTTATTTCATTATAAAATTTTTAAATTATCTTCATCATCACATGTTCTGTTTTTAGACTGAAAAGAACATTGGGCTAACATTCATTCAGCTTACTTTTAATTTCTCTTGGGCATTAGTGGGCTCTAGTGATTCAGAGTTGAGGAATGCATAGATGAATCTCAGAAGAAATAACTAGTCTCTGCAAACATGGTGACAGTGTAGTAGGGGGAATACTGGACTCAGAGTGGGATCATCTGGGCTCAGTCTCACACACCTGCTGAATTGCCTGGGTGTCAAGTTACATACAGTTTCCTGGTGCATCAAATGAGGTTAATCATACCTAGCACAGACAGCTTGCATGAATTCAGTGAGGTGTAATGTGACAGCACTCAGCGTGTTAAAGGGACCCAAGGATTAAATTGAGATCTAACACTTGATTGTTGTGTTTCTCATATTTTAACTTTATTTTCTTGCAGCATTGTGAAAAGGAAAAGGTGTCTTCTTTAAAGGAGCTGAAGCATATTCATGCAAAAAGTGAACCAAGTAAACCTGCCCGGAGACTTTCAGAATCTTTGCATTCAGTTGATGAAAACAGAAATGAATCCAAAACAGAAAGAGAACACAGAAGACGCACATCTACCCCTGTCATGGTGGAGGTGGCCCAGGAAGAGCCTGATGGGAGAGACGGGAAGAGGCAGGGGGAGCGCTCAGAAATGGGCACAGAAGAACCCCAGAAACAGAGAAGCACAGTGAAAAGTGAGAAGCATCTGAAGAAGGACGATTCTGAACCTCCACACGGGAGAGGCCTGCTCAAGAAGGAGCTGAGGCCATCCAAGGAGAAGCCTGAGAAAGAGAAGCCTCCGCCAGAAGATAAAGCATCTGTGAAACATAAATACAAAGGTGACAGCACGCACAGACCGGGCGAGGACGCCGACCTGCACTCTCCTGAGAAAGGGGTGAAAGTGGAGGAAAATCAGAAGCAAAGTCAGCAAACAAAGCTTTCTTCAGATGATAAAGCTGAACGAAAAAGCAAACACAGGAATGAAAGGAAATTATCAATTTTAGGCAAGGACGGAAAGCCAGTTTCTGAATATATCATAAAAACAGATGAGAATGGTCGCAAAGAAAACAACAAAAAAGACAGACATTTGTCAACCGAAAAACCTAAGGCAGAGCACAAATCAAGACGGTCCAGTGATTCAAGAATTCAGAAAGATTCTCTAAGTGCCAAGCAGCACAGTGTCACATCACAGAGAAGAAGTGAGAGTTATTCTGAAGAGAGGTGTGATACAGACTCAACCAGCTTAGACAGCATTTCAAAACCAGAAGAGGCTGTTCCCAAGGAGAAACGGAGAACCAAGAGCTCGTTAGATGAGAAACTCGTGCTGAAGTCCAAGTCAAAAAGTCAAGGCAGGCAGTTAAAAGGCATAGAAACAGAAGTCCCAGAAAATGTCCCCAAACAGGCAGCCCCTCTAAAACCAGATAAGGAGAAAAACTCTGAAGAAAATGACTCAGAAAAGCAACGGAAGTCTAAAGCTGAAGAGAAACCTGAAGAAACTGGTGTTGAACCTGTGTCAGAGACTCCTGCTTCCTCGGCACATAGTACCCAAAAAGATGCGGCTTATAGAGCTAAGTTACCATTAGCAAGGGAGAAACCTCGGGGGGACAAGGATCCCGGCTCCCGGCTTGACAGAAGGCCGTCAGATGGACACAGAAGCAGAAGTGTGAAGCGTAGCAGTAAGGATGTGAGAAGGAAGGAAGAGAATAAATCAGATGACAAGGATGGCAGAGAAATTGATAGTAATCATGAAAAGCCCAGAGGAAATGGTTCAGTCATGGAAAAGAAATTGAGTAGAAGGCTTTGTGAAAATCGAAGAGGAAGCTTACCACAAGAAATGGCCAAAGGAGAGGAAAAAGCAGCAGCAAACACTTCAGGCACTCCCAGTAACTCCTCCCTTCAAAGACCAAAAAAAAGTGGTGATGCCACATTGATTCCTGAACAAGAGCCAATGGAAATTGATTCTGAGCCAGGTGTTGAAAATGTGTTTGAAGTTTCTAAAATGCAAGACAGCAACAATAATAATAGTTCTCAGCAAGACACTGACTCTGAAAATATTATAAAACACAAAACTCACACCACAGTTCTAAAGGATGAATCACGAACTTCTACAGTAGATTCGAAATCACCAGCTCTCACGTGTAAGTCAGGGCGTGGGACAGGAGTTGCTGGTAATTCTGAGAAGCACGTGGACCGCAGAAGCCCCCTGGCCAGAAAAGTGCACATGCAAAGTGCTGTGTCTAAACTGAGCCCCGGGGAGAGAGAGCCGGGTCAGCGGGCAGCTCACGAAGTAAACGCAGGCTCAGAAACCACGCAGAGGACGCTGCGGGCAGCTCACGAAGTAAATGCAGGCTCAGAAACCACGCAGAGGATGCTGCCCAGTGCCCCACCGGAGAACGGGAGGGCGCAGAAAAACCCGAGAAGTGCAGCCAGGCCTGCCGACGAGCGCGCTGCTCAAGGGGACACCGTTCCCAGACATTCCACGAGCACAGAGCTCTCTCCATCCCCAAGCGCAGTGACTGCTGTATCTCAGAAAGAATCTCACGGTTCAGATGTAAATCCTCTAGAGGACAAAAGAACTGCTTTAGAAGGCGGCACTGCCGGCATCTCTCCTGTGGGTCCCTGTACTGTCCCTAGGAAGGGACAGGAAGAAGGTGGTGAAGCTTCCACAGTAGAGACAGCAGCCAAAGCCACCATCACTAGCAAAAGACACATTCCGGAAGGCCACCAGGCCACTTCACTGGATAGTAAGCCAGAAAAGGTGATTGTGCCCCTTGGGAGCAAGGTCGCCAGCATGGCTGTGGGAAACGAGAATGTTCTCAGAGAAAGCCGCTCAGCAGACTTGGCCCAGAAAGAGAGCGATTTAAACTCAGAGCCCAGTTTCAAGCAGACAGTCAGAGCAGTAGCAGAGAATGACAAGAAGGATAGCACTGCTGGTGACCGTACAGGCGTGAGTGCAGGAAAAGGTGCTGAAACTGTGCAACTTACGCACGATAGAGGCCCGGGCAAAACAAAAGACATACGCGTTGGTGTTGAAAGAAGGAGTGAAAACAGTGAGGTGGACACCAGTGCTACAGGTGGCTCTGCAGCCCCTGTTTTGCACCAAAAGAATGGAAAAACTGAGGTGGTGGCAGGGGGACCCAGTAAGGCAGGAAAGACCTCTGTCGCCACTAGCACTGAAGGGAGCAAGAAAAGCGTCCCCACGAGCCCAATAAAGGCGGGTGCTGCCACCACCACGTCTTCAGAAACCAGCGCACGTGAGGTGGCTCAGCCCTGCACCAGCATTGAGGCCGATGAAGGCCTCACGGCCGGTGCACACCCTGGAAACCGTCCCCTCCAGGCCAGGGCAGAAGCCAGCGAGGGCACTGTTTTTGCTGCAGCTGAAGAAGGAGGAGCTGTCGTCACAGAAGGGTTTGCTGAGAACGAAACTTTCCTCACAAGCACCAAGGAAGGGGAGAGTGGGGAGTGTGCCGTGGCTGAGTCGGAGGAAGGAGCACCAGGCCTTGTGCCTGCGCACGCAGTTGACACGGGAGCTTCTGTGAACAGTGTTGTGACAGAGGAGAAGGATGACGCTGTCACCAGTGCAGGCTCTCAAGAGAAGTGTCACGGCTCTTCCAGTAGAGACACAGAAATGGTGGAAGAAACAGTTACTTTTATTAGTGAAGTTGAAAGTGATGGGGCAGTTACCAGTGCTGGGACGGAAGTAAGAGCCGGATCTCTCAGCAGTGAAGAGGTGGACGGGTTCCAGGGAAACAAGACGAGACTGGGCCCCAAAAAAGAAACGGAGGGCACTGTGACCTGTACGGGAGCCGAAGGCCGCAGTGGCAATTCTGTGATCTGTTTAGTGACCAGGGCAGGGCCCCGAGAGGAGCGTGTGGTTACAGGGGCAGACGTGGCTTTGGCAGGTAATGACACGCCAGCAGGAGCCAGCACCAGCCACGAAGGAGACGGCTCCGTGAACGATGGGGTAGAAGGTGAGAGCGCAGTGACCAGCACGGGGATCACGGAGGAAGACGGGGAGGGCCCAGCCAGCTGCACAGGTTCAGAAGATGGCGGTGAAGGCTTTGCCATAAGTTCTGAGTCGGAGGAAAATGGAGAGAATGCCATGGACAGCACAGCAGCCAAAGATGTCACCAACGTCCCCTTAGTCGCTGCTGGCCCGTGCGACGACGAAGGCATTGTGACCAGCACAGGTGCAAAAGAGGAGGACGAGGAAGGGGAGGGCGTGGTGACCAGCACTGGAAGAGGAAATGAAGTTGGGCAGGCTTCCACTTGCACGGGGATGGGAGATGAGAGTGAAGGGGCACTGATTTGTGAAAGCGTGGAAGGGGACAGTCAGATTGGTACAGTGGCCGAGCACGTGGAGGCCGAGGCCGGAGCGGCCGTCGTCAATGCGAGCGAGAGTAACGCTGACAGTGTGAGCGGCGCGGAGAAGGAGGCGAAGGATGCAGAGATCTGCTCCAGTGCCAAAGGGGTCGTGGAGAGCAGCGTGACCAGTGGGGCTTCGGGGAAGGAGGAAGCGGCACCCATCCCGGAGGGTTGTGAGGGCCCCATGACTAGTGCTGCTTCTGATCAAAGCAACATTCAGCTCGCCAGGGCAGAAAATGCTGGAGACACCATTATCTCCACGGGGCTGGTAGGGGCCAGTTATGATGCTCTTGTGTGTGGTACCGTCCTGGGATGTGAAGTCGCCCACACGTCACCAAGTGAGAAAGAAGATGAGGGCATCATCACGTCTGTGGAGAATGAGGAGTGTGACCACCCTCTGGCCACTACCGCCGGGGGTGGGATCACCAAGCAGCACGGCCTGGCCGGTGGCACAAGTCTGAACAAAGGCCTGATGATCTCCACCAGCACGACAAGCGGTGATGCCCCTGGTGGGAGCGCAGTGGTGACCACAGGAGAAGGGCACGCAGGTGCTCTGAGAGCTGGGGAAGGTGTGGACAGCGCCAGGGCAAATGTGGAAGAGTTCGAGGCCCCCATGCCCAGTGCTGCCTCTGGGGAGAGCCCATGTGCTCCTGGCCGGAGCGAGGAGAAGGACGAGTGTGCCATGATCTCCACGAGCATAGGGGAGGAGTGCGAGGTGCCCATTTCCAGTGCAACCCCCACCAAGTGTGCCGAAGGTCCGCAGCTGCTCACGGCCGTGGAGGAGAGGGCTGAAGGTGCGGTCTTCGTGAGCACAGCTGACTTTGAGGGGCCTATGCCCAGTGCTCCCTCAGAGGCCCAGGGCCCCCTGGCCTCGACCAGCAATGAGGAAAAGGATGAATGCGCCCTCATTTCCACCAGCATAGCAGAGGAGTGTGAGGCCTCTGTGTCTGGTGCAGTTGTCGAAGGTGAAAACGAGCAAGCTGGGACGGTCCTGGAAGAGAAGGACGGGAGCGCTGTCATCTCTACAAGCTCCGTGGAAGACTGTGAGGGCCCAGTGTCCAGCGCCGCCCCGCAGGAGGGGGCCCAGCCCTCAGTCACAG